TCGCTCCCCCTCCCCTCCCCAGAAGACCGCTCTAGATCCGCCTGTGTTCTAGGCATGCTATCTCGGCATAAACTCTACAGGCGTTCAAATAGATCCTTATATCTTACTAGCAGCATTTCTAGGTTTCAAATGAGTAAAATTCAACAGTTGTTTTTTTTTTCAGTTTTTATAGTTTTTATCGTTTTAACACCACGTCGAAGGCGTATTTTTGTTGAGGTAGACGGCTCGAAAGCATATGTTTTGGGCGGTATTGTGGATCGTGTGGCGCAACATCGTTTACATCCACATGCTACTTTGCTAGCTGCACAAGAAGATCAGGTGGAAGCGCGTAGGCTGCCAATTGATAAATATATCAAGTGAGTCAAACTTTTTTTTTTTTTTTGATTAGTAATGTTAAAACTGCCTAAATAGTTGGCCTTTTTGATCCAACGTTTGTGGATGCTACTGTTCTGCTCCCACAAAGCTGGTCGCAGTAATTCCGGGCATTTTGACCCTGAAATGCTTACTTCCAATTAATATTCATCACTTGTTTTGATGTATATATTCTGTATCTTCTTTCCTTCCTTTCTCACTTTATTTGCTCCTTCACTTATATCTATTTCTTCCTTTCATCCGTCTTGCAAATCAGTTGCACGACTATTCAAAACATGGCGGTAGGAGGCTGTACTGATGATTTCCACTTCTACCCGCTTGCACTGTTCGGCCTGTGTACACAGCTAAGGGACGAAACACAGACTGCGTTATAAAATGTCTTCATACACATGACATTTAAATGAAATCAATCTATTCTTCTATTTCGAAGGCCACTCGATTATATGTACTAGGGGGATCCAGAACACATTCTTAGGGGGAGGGGGGAGGTTACGGAAATAGGGAAGGAGAGTCCCCTCCCACCCTGGAACTATGCAAAAACTAGAAATGGAGTTGTAACACTGCTGCTTAGAGTTACTTTAGTTTAAAGTTACTTGAGACTTTAGTTTATTTTAGTTTTAGCTTTAGATCCGGGCTTTTGCAGCACTGGTGCGCCTGTGGCGCTGGGGGAGAAAGGTCCATCGCTCTCCCTTACTCCCTCCCCTCCCTCCTGAATTATATGCGTTTCAACATTTTGAAAGCAGCTAAATGGGGTGGAAGAATTCACTTGATTGGCATGAAATTGCAAAATTAAGCGGGCGAAAAAAGCCAAAAATAGAGAAGAATGGACAAATTGCTAGCTACGTCAGTGACGACAAGTAATGCATTGGTGAAATGATAGTCGGACAATTTATCAAAAAAAGACATCAATTTGTATAGAGGAAATACTAAAACAGGGGAGGCTGGCTGCTTGTAGCTGTCTAATTAGAGCTAAGTTAGAGTATTTGCTGTACTGGTTTTTTTGAGTTTACAAAGCCGTAGATTTTCTTAGAAAATGTTTTTTGGAGACTTTTTTTTTCGGAAGGGGGTGGGGTGGGGGG